TCGATCATGCGAATAAAATATTCGAATATATTCGCATTCGAAATTCGATATTCTGAGTTTTTCCATTTTCGAATGATATTCGAAACTCGACTAATTGAGAAAACGGGGTTTCGAATAAAGTTCGAAAACTCGAATAATCAAAAAAGAGCATTCGAATAATATTCGAAAACTCGAATATTCAAAAAACGGGGTTTCGAATAGATTTTATTTGAATGTTTTATTTGAATGTTCATTCGAATTCGTACTCAAATGAATTCCGTACTCAGATTATTCGAGCTTGTTGCAGAGCCAGGTGGTGCTGAGTACTAAGCTCGCTTCGTTTGCGTTTTTTCCCTCAAAACTCTGTAATGCATCTTTTTGCAACTGTGATGACCTTTAACTATATGGAAAGTCGCATTCCTCCGACTGCTTGTGACAGTGAAAAATAGGTGTGGATTTTAACTGATGCTTTTCCGATCAATGAGATAGTTCGCACTGCTACTGGCACCAAATCAGCAAGAAAATTAGCTATCAAATTCTCATCTTCCGAGTTCATATACTGTAAATGTGTTGACATGCTTGTTTCTCTTTCTCTGCGTTGCTCGTGCTTTTGGTACGAAAAGGTCCACAATAGTGAGCACCCTTGCTTGTAAAACCTCATGCTGCACAACTGGCTCTGCTCTTTACCTTAGAGATTTTTCACGATTTGGTTTTTGAGTAAACGACATTGCAGCTGCAGTTGAAAATTAGACAGTTGAATTTTGCAGTTATTTACCTTGCAATAAAGTTTTGTTCAGTAGATAATATAGGATAGTTCTGTTCACAGTGCATCTAAGATTTCACGGAGGCTTGCAGGCAATTTAACACCGGTAGCTCTCAGCCTATCTACTATGGCAAAGACTCCACATTGAGAAATGCGAGCTTTGATTATGACAGGCCCCGCACCTACTTCACGCGACAGTCGTACGCGATTTGCCAATTACAAGATGCTAGACACAGGGTGAGAGTTGGTACCAGGGGGTTAAGGGAGGGTGCTGATTATGAAATAATTTTTTTGTCGATTTTATCGGTTTTTTTTTTGAAAAATTTTGAGCTACGAGGACGGGAGTATGGAACAGGGGGGGGGGGTAAATGAGGGTGCTGATTTAAACATTTACTTTGATGCTTTCAACGATTTTTGAAAAATCTTGAGCTACGAGGCTGGGAGTTGGTACGGGGGGTGAATGAGGGTGCTGATAAGATAAAATCTGTTTTATCGATTCATCGATCATTGGAAAATCTTGAACTAGGAGTTGGTAGGATATGAGGGTGCTGATTATGCATGAATCGGCTTTAGCCGAATACGTCGGCAAGTTTTGGATCTGATTGCTCTAGTTATTCGATAAATGATTCCAATATTTATTCGAAATTCGACTACCAATGTTCGAATATAAACGATATCATTCATTCGATGTTTCTGCTTTTCCGATTTTATTCGGGGTTCATTCATTTGAGAATTTTTAAATCTCGTTTATTCATTCGTTTATTTGAAACCAGTGCTTCACCTCTGCTTCGCAGAGGTTCGCACTGGCATCTTGAACCGTGGTAAACTCACTTTCTGAGAGCTTGTCTCTCAAATCATTGTTCGGTTTATTGCAACGTGAGCCGTAGTTAAAAATGAACCATACTCGCTATCTTAACCTCACATGATGTTAGTATCGTAAATCATTCCTCACTGTAATTTCGTAACGGACAAACTCCACACAACTTCAGATTAAGCCGCTTATTATAAGTCATGATTTTTCATTTTCGAATTTATTCGATATTCATTCATTCAATGAAAAATTACGAATTTACCCAAATATAATGTACAGTCGAATCATTTCATATGATCATGTGTGTCATTACACAATTGTGCACTTTTGGCGCTCCCATCCTGGATTCTTGGAGGAGGCAACCCTTCAAGTAAGTGTTTTGGATGTGTTCTGGATGTTTTCCTTCCTTATCAGTTACTATTACCTCAAAGTTGTAAACGATAACAAGCGGTCAGTCCCTTGCGTTTTTGCCACTGCAAATCCAGGATGAGAACGCCAAAGACGGACGGTTTATGCAGTGCACACATGATCATATGAAATGATTCGACTGTATTTACCTCGGTCAAGTGTTATTTTTTTTTCAATTCTTTTCTTCTATTCGCGAAGAAATTCAAGTAAACTATGGATAGAGCAAACCTTATAGGATACAAAACTGTTTCTGCCCTTTCCATAGTTTACTTTCCAAAATTTTCAAATTATTTCTCTGATGCTATCAAATATATTTGTTAACTTAAACCTCACCGATCATCAGCCGGCAAGCAACTTGGGGTTACTCGATGCAGAAATTATCATCTTTTAGAGCATGTTTTTCGTTCTTGATTTCAAAATTCTTGTAGGATAAATTCGATAAAGTTCATGTTTTTGAAGGCACCCCAAGCTGTACCCGGCAAATCCAAAATTCGATATTTTGAACTCCGGAACCTCAGTCTCGTAAAACCAGTGCTGAATCCTATTCCATTTTTGAAAGTACCAAAAATCGAGGATTTATTGGTGTTTGACGAGTCTGCGTCTGGTATAGATGGGGTAAAATGCAATGGTGTTGTTTATAAGTGTGTCAAAAATTGTGGAGAGCTTCGTGAAGGAGAGCAATATTGTGTATTCTATAAGGTTGCTCTACTTATCGTTACTTGAACTTTTTTGGGGCAATACAAATCTTAAAAAAAGTAGCGGGGTTTGACCTTAGTAAAAAGCGTGGGTCGCAGTTTATAGTAATTTACTGAGAGCTCATTGCTTCAACTGCAATATAAAAAACCATTTAAAAGTGCATGAAAAACTTGGAAAACTGCAATGAATGCTGTCAAGATCTTCTGTAAAGCTTTGTTTCGCGGATTGTGGCGCTTATTCAAAAAAGCGAAATTACTTTGGGGACGACCTAATAGAATCCGTAGCATCTCGAAACATGTATCTTAATTTTGGATTTTATCGCAGTGCTATATTTTTGTCACACGTCTTCCTAAGATTCGGCATAACGCTCGAGAGTAATTTTGTTTGTGAAGAAGCAATTGCAGGCCATTTTGTCGGCCGAAATTCAAGCCACTGTTTGAAAGAGAATTTTGGGCGTACGAAAAAACTGCGCCATTATGATGGAGTGCTTTCGGTATGAAAGAAATGCAAGCTGCTTTTATTGAATTCCCTGAATCTGTTTGATATCTGCAGTGCCTACAAGGTGTAGTCAAACATCTCTCTCTCTACCTCTTTATCATCAAGCTCAACATTTTTCGTCAAGACTTAGGCTTTCCATACTGCTTGCGATCATCCTTTTCTTGGAGAGAAGTCCGTCTATGGGAGAATCACGTCATCGTCCATCAAATTTGAGTATGTAAGAAATATTTTGCGTCATTACTGGCATGGACTTTTTGAAGTATAAAAACACCAGGGTGTGAAAGGAACTTGGCGTCACGTCTGGCAACTTAGAATTAGAAAGCACATTTGCGCCACTTTTGATAGCCCAAATTTCGGGACAGGGCCAAGAAAAATTAGCGAAGGTACCGAAAACTGATCTGAGTATTTGGTAGCAAAAGCAATTTTTCAGGTATCAGTAGATAGGCTAAACCTTTATGCATGAAACAAAACTTTGCATTACTTTTTCCGAAAAGTTTCAAGCATGCAAGAGTCGATTTTCTTTACTTCTCCTTATTCTTTTGCACAGATTTTCTTAGCTTTCTAAGTGGCTCAAGTTGCTCTCTGAAAGAAAGCAGGCTCTTTAAAATGGTTACAGATATCCACATGAATCGTGTTCCACGTGAAGTTTCAGGCGGCAATCTGAAATCTGAATGTTTGTAATGTAAACACCTGTTGTATTTTTTCGCATAGCTAGAATTCGGGAAAAAATGATAGGCATTATGGCAAACTCCGCCCGAAGTGAAGCAAATATCACACTTTTATACGTAGGTGCACTGATTATTGAGAAATATCGTTGGCGTTTGAGTCTCAAAAAACGCCTGAGACAGAATAGTAATTCAAGATAGTTTATCCATCATTTCATATGGAAATTCCACAATCCCACAGAATAATGGCGAAGCATACAGTAACTGTTTTATACAATACTGTTATGGTAACTGCATTAGCATGTCCACAGGCTTCAGAATTATTTCAGAAGATAATCCTTACACTAAAAGTTTTGAAATAACTCAACGTAGCGCCGTGGAAGCGGCTCAGGCTGGTAGATACCCGAACACTAGCTATACTAATAGTTTATCTGTTATGACATAAAATAAGAATCAAACAGTACACTAAAGCAATAAATAACAACATGGATCATTGGGTTGCTGGTCGGGCAGGCATCAGCCTGTAACAGTGGAGGGGTAGCTTGGGCTGCCAGTCGGTATCCTCCTAGCTCGAGGCTTGGTACGGGAATTCCCCCCTTGTGCTCTCGGTGGCGGCTTATATAGCATACTGCGGAATGCGTATCATTCGTCGTATCTGTAACAGTTAATCTTATTCTCACAACATACTAATACCTTATCTGTGCCTTATATCTTGTTCTCAACATAGCTCTTTCGCGTGCGTTCCTATGCGCCTACGCTTACAAATATTAGTCTTAATTGCTGAAACTGTTTCATTCGTATTACGCTTTTTTGTAAGACTTTTGCAGTTTACTGAGAAAATTCATTTCAATGTAGAGACGTCTGAGAAGCACAATTTCTTCTTAAAACAGTGAGGAGTGGGTCATGAACACAGCTTGGATCACTTCTAAAAAACAATTTGTTTCTGGAGCCTATCAAGACCAAAGATTTACAAGATTTACAATTTTAAAATGATGGAATGTTTCTGGATTTTCACCAACATCAAAACAATCTTTACTTCTTCTTCTTTGCTAGCAGAGTATGTCTTTTCTAAATCACTCCCAACATTCTCAACTTCACATAATTCCTTATGCTCGTTATGAAATGCTTCAAAGTCATCACTGTATTGCTCCCATTGAGCACTATCAGTGGGATATTTCAGATGATGCTGGTCACTTCCATACTTTCACTTGTTCGATCAATTGCACAGAACAACTCCTCAGATGTTCCTACGCATTCCATTCCCTCAACAAACCTCAGTAGCCAACCTCGCTATACTGATGAGCAGAGGTAGACTAGTTCATTCAGCATGTAGTCAGCAGCCAAAGTCTTTGTTTTGCAGATTACTGTACCATCTATTGAAGGACTACGAAAAAGCTGTACGGCCAGTGCGGAATGCTTCTGATACTGTGACCGTACGGCTGGGAATGACAATGACAAATATTTTCGATATGGATGAGAGGAATCAAGTTCTTACCATTAATGTTTGGCTAGACCAGGTAAAGCAAATTTATTTCTATACTCCATTATGCTGAACAAACATTGTTTTTACCAGCAACCAAACATAAATTTGAACTTGTGTTATCGTAGAAAATCTGGCGAAGTAATCTCACCCTACAGTACTGGAGCACGCTGAAAAAATGGTGTTTCCTCTAAAAAGTGTAATATCGAGTGTAATATGCTGTGAAGAGAAGCTAGCACTGAAATTAACATCCAAGCTTTTAGGAATGGAATGACGAGCTGCTGCGATGGAATCCAGCAGATTTCGGAGGCATCAAAATGATACGAATCCCATGTGATTTGATTTGGCTTCCCGACATAGTGCTGTACAACAAGTAAACAATACTTTTGTTGATTAGTGAATGCTTGGTAAAAGTGCAGAAATTCAGTGCCGACGATTATACTTCTGGCTATATGCGCTCGAGGGCCATGATACTCTACACGGGGACGGTGTTTTGGCCTCCTCCGACACAGTTACGAAGCACTTGTAAAGGTGAGAACAGTTACAGTCCTTGGGGTGAAGGACTATATGTCGCCAAGAGGAGGTATTCTTACGCGGACATTTGCGGCAGAACACGAAGCTCCACACATTACAAGGATCACAGAAATGTACCAGCTTTCCGCGCGGGTTGAGTCCATCGGCGGCATGTAGTTCCCTACTCCAGCCCTTGTTCAAATAACTATAGAGCGCAGGGTGGGGGACATTAGGTCGCCGAAAAAGGGCGGTCTCCGCGGTCATTTGCGACAAATACGTACCCTTGTACATGCGCGGACATGCGTTCCTGCAGGGAATCCGCGCGGGACTCTTCCAAATTCGGCGACTTAATGTCCCCCACCCTAGAGCGCACATTTTTAAGTCTTATGTCCCATGGCCATTTTCTACACGCAAGTGTTGTCACTACGCAGGAGCAATACATCTTATATATAAAGTTGAATGTGTGTATGTATGTGTGTATGTCTGTCTGTATGTACGTATGTATGTGCGGAATAGAAATTTTTATTTCTGGACCGATTTGGACCAAACTTTGGCACACATATACTTCGGGCAGGGAGCGTGTCATATGCTACTTTTCGTTATCGATCGATATCGATTTTATCGATTTTTTGCAAAATTTGAGCTACGGGGCTGGGAGTTGGCACAGGGGGGTAATCGAGCATGCTGATTACGAATATAATAATGACAGGGCCGGGCGGAGCCGGGTTTGCCAGCTAGTCATCAAATAAATTACCAAACTATAGTTTTGTGAATTAACTAGATTTTATTGTGAACCATAACCTGGAGTACCCCAACTTGTCGCGCTTATAGCATCTGAGTGACATTTAGTAATTTCCACAAGTATAAAATGTGTCGAGTCTCAAACGCACAATTTTGACTCGAAATTTGATGATCTTCTCAGCCTCAAATAAAAAGTTCACTCTGCAAACTATTCATGTTTATTAACGCGATAATTCGAATATTTTATCTAGTGGATGTGTCGATGTTCCCATTTGATGAGCAAAAGTGCTCGCTAAAATTTGGCTCATGGAGCTATCACGGATTTCAAGTGGACGTCACAAACAGAAGCACCAACATCGATTTGTCGAACTACGTCATTTCTGGAGAGTTCGAATTAGTCAAGGTGAATCCAAATAAAATGTGGGTCGACTGAGTCAGGCATAGTTGTTTTTTGCAGGTCTATCAAAAACGACGAGTTGTGAAGTACACGTGTTGTCCAGAGCCCTACCCGGACCTTACATTCTTCATTTATATCAGACGAAGAACTCTGTACTATCTTTACAATATCGTCTTTCCATGCGCGATGATGTCGGTGCTGACTTTATTGGGCAAGTGACCTCAGTGGCACGTCCTTTAGTGCATTCGTTAATTCGAATTTGATAGCGTAATCTGGTTTAAACCAAAAAAAAGCAGAAAAGTTTCGAAAGTTAGCAGAAAACGAAAATTTTATGAATTCCGTATTTTTAACCATTTTATAATACATTTGTGTCAAAAACTTATAATGTGTGCACAATAAGCGAACGAAGATTTCGAGAGAGAGAATCAATCAAAGCTCAAGTCAAGCACGGAACTGTGAAGAAAAGAAATATCCAACAACAGCAGGTAGCAATCACTCCTATCAAGCGCTTCAGTACATCATTCCAATTTGCTACAATTCGACTCACAAATCCATCCACGAAAGTTGAAATTCTCAGAGATATTTCTCAGACAATTTACATTTTAAGTATCCAAAGCGATATGAATTCGTGTATTTGGTCCAAAAAGATTCGAACAACCCTTGGTATAATTTTCATCTTCAGCTTGCCCATTTCAGTATTTCTGCTTCCACCAGACTCTGGTGAAAAAATCGCGTTAGGCATCACAGTACTGCTTGCCTTTTCCGTGAGTTTTCTCTATCTGACAATTATCAACCATTATCTCGAAGTTAAAAGATTCAGGTTTTTGTGTTGGCAATAGCTGAAAAGATGCCAGAAACATCGGATGCGATGCCGTTAATTGGAATTTATCTAATGGTTGTCATGGCTATGACATCCGTTTCGGTAGTGATGACAGTTTTGGTCAGTTGCTTTTTTAACATCAAAAAGCATAAATATCAAACTGCAATCGCAGGTTCTGAACTTTCATCATCGCGGTCCATTCAACGAGCCCGTACCAGAATGGGCTCGTAGCCTCATTCTGCAACGTCTGCGAAAGCTCTTGCGCATGAAGCTACCTAATCCAGGTAAAGATAAACGCTAACGGCTACTACTCTTTCCAAATGTACAAGGCGCACCTTTTTCGATTTTTCAAGCGAGCACCTCAGCTGCTTCACTGTATTTTGGAAAGCGATCCTTATGCTGCACGATTCTTTTAACACACTGATGACAAAGCCGATTTGTCGATTACTCCCGTTTTGGACCAGAAGCTTTTTCGCTTTGTCAAACTTACTACCCACCCGTAGGTCGTATTGTCCGAAGTGGTAGTCTTTTCGAAAAAATTTCAAACATGTCTCCGAAAATCTCCCCACAAGGGTTATCGAAGGCGCTGATTATCAAAATACGATTTATTTCGGTTTTTGGCATTATCGGTAAGGTTACGGTAGTCATTCTCTACCTTTCCAACTCAGGGGTTTTCATGAAAAATTGTGTTTTGGGGTTATTTCACGTGCTGATCACGATTATGGTGACCAATATGTTCAATATTCCACGGTTGGGCTACGGTAGCAGCACGGTAAAATTTTCGTGAAAATCAAGAAACTGATATAAGAAGGCGGTATTAGAACTTGAAATCATCATTTTCGTAATCAGCATGCTACAAAACCTATATATGTATGGTTTGAGCTTCCTGGGATGAAAATGAAAAAAAAATCAATAAAATATTGTATTGTCCGAAACGGCAGAACAGAATGACCCACCGGTGTATCGTATTGTCTTGAATGTGTTAAGCAATGTACAGCACGGTACAGGGCCCTTTGCTTGCGAAGTCCCTTGGCGTGTTTGGGCTGGTCGTTTTTCGAAAAAAAAACCTTGTACATGAATTTAGAGTACTTGAAGCTTACAGATCTCGACTCGAAAAGAAAAACCTCGATATGTCCAACCAACACAATGCGTCGGTTATCCGTCAGAGTCGCCATGGACGACATGAGGAACGAGGTATGGAAACTTGCTTCGAAAGAACCTAACAATAGCATACTCATTCAGATCATAAATGAGATTGGACCTGATCTGCTAAATGGTGAATGCTTTGGATCAGAGGTTGGAAAGTTTTGAATATATTTAGAAGAATACAAAAAGTATCAGGGTTGTCCGTATTTGCCCGTGTGCCAACACTGCGCCAGCACAGCGTTGACACCGTTGGCACTGCAGGCGGTGCAGTGTGACGCCTCGTGCCAGCTGTTTGTCATGCGGAAAGTATGGACGTAGACTAGGTCGCTTTTAAAGAAAGTAGATGGGAAGAGGCAGCCTAGGGGTTAAAACAAACCATAGCGAAGACTTTCAGACCAGATCTTCACACTGTTTGCAGGCACACCCACCATCTATGGAAAATGTATTCCTCGATGTTCCTCGCACACATCTCATTGTCGACAGTAATGGAGTCACTAGAAAGCGGGGGCACACCGAGGATCAGGTCAAGGAAAAATTGCTCAAAACTTTACAGGTGCCCATGACAATAAAAGGTAGCGATTCTACTGCAAACCTCTCTTTCAGATCCTTATGAAAAGACAGGAAAATGAAGATGCAGGTGAACGTGCCGCTGGCGAATGGAGGCAAGTGGCTCAGGTAGGTTGTTCTTTATGTTGACCGTAATGCAAAGTGATCCACGTGAAGTGTGACATGCTTTGAAAAATGAAAATGATAAAGAAAATGATGAAAATGATGGAAATGACATGCTATTTCTGCTCTATTTCATGCTTTGTTATGGTGATAGTCGTCCCCCATATTCTTCTGTCCCGAGAGGCCGTTCTTGCGTTTGATTTACAATTTAACCTAGAGGTTTATCACCCCGCAGTCGCCATGACAAATCGCAGTTTAAAGGCAGCGGCTCGGCAGATTTTGCACTTCCATCTTTTTGCATGCTTTGGGCCCTCTCGACCCGTAGATCCCGAATCTGAGCTTTAAAAGGGGTGAAAAAGCCTTTTTCGGGGCGTTTTGTTCAATTTCCGAAAGGCAGCTCGGACGAGAATTTTTTAAAGGAGAGTCGGGAGGCCCTGGCACGAAGACCCTGCTGCCCGTAATTTTAGCTTTGTAGCTATTTTAGCTTTAGCATGCACAATGCGGGAAAGCGGTTGGGGGGTCCCCCACCGTCTAGCGGAGAATACTCGTCCGAACAAGGTGTTAGGGGAGCGAAAGGAGGAAGGGGAGCGACGCTTGAACCGCCCCCCTAGCTTGCAGAATTCACATTTTCGGCCCGGAGTTCTCTTTTGGTTCACTTGGAGGGCCTCCTATCCATCTGTGTCACAATCTAAGGTAGGTCTATTCTGCCGAGCCGCTGCCTTTAAGCATTTGTGAAAAAGCGTCAAAAGCAAATTTTGAAGGGTTGTGGTGCTTTTTGGACCGAAGCAAACATTGTGGACGCTGTTTGAAATTTGGACTGAAAACCAAGCCACAACAGAATGAAGGTACTGCAGTGGTTAAGAACCATATATCTAAACAATGTTTTGCCCTTCAAATCCATTCTTGACCTCATAGGTTGTCTTGCTATTAGGTTGTCCGGAAATTAATGCAGGTTTTGAATTCCAACCGCAATAAGTCATGCACTTCTCGTTTCTAAGTAGGTTGCAAGGTACCGTTCGATAGAGCAAAGCAAGCTCTACAAGACGGCTATCTTGGTTTAGCAACAGCTCTAATCCACCACGAGTTTCGAGCCAAAAACTAAAAAGATTCAACTACCCAAAAAATTGAGAAAAATCGTAACTCAGTTCATAAAAATCCTACAAAAATTCTAACCTGCTCACGTAAGCACTATCCACATAAGACATATATGTACGCCGTTGCCGTATTTTTTCCTCTGTTGTAAATCAAGAAAACGAAAATTTCCATGCTTTTGCCAAAGTGATCTTGTGCCGTTCCCACATAAGTAGTTGTATACTGCAAACCTGTAGAAGTACAAACTCAAATTTCCAGCTCTCTACAAGCTTTAGTTCTTGAGAAATTTGAATTTTAGTTTGGACCACCTGACTAATGAAAGCTAAATTCGATATTTCTTGAGAACTAAAGCTTGTAGAGAACTGGAAATTTACGTTTGTACTTCTACAAGTTTGTAGTATGCAACTACTTATGTGGGAACGACACAGGATTACTTTGGCAGAAACATGAAAATCTTCGTTTTCTTGGTTTCTAACCGAGAAAAAAATACGGCAACTGCGCACATGTACGTCTTATGTGGACAGTGTTTACGTGAGCAAGCTAAAATTTTTGTAGGATTTTTATGAACTGAGTTACGATTTTTCTCAATTTTTTGGGTAGTTGAATCTTTTTAGTTTTTGGCTCGAAACTCGTGGTGGATTAGAGCTGTTGCTAAATCAAAACTGCCATCTTGTAGAGCTTGCTTTGCTCTATCGAATGATGTATTGCAACCTACTTAGAAATGAGAAGTGTATGACTTATTGCGGTTGGAATTCAAAACCTGCATTAATTTCCGGACAGCCTAATATTCTACTTAGGAGCGAAAAGCCTGCTCTTCCGAACCCGTGTCCCATGCGTTAAAAAGAGACCTGAACCTGGAGACAACTTTTCACAAAAAACTGCTGCACGCGTCATGAAAAATAGAAAATATATCGCTATAAAAATATATCGCTTCCGAATATTTTTCATGACTGCAGTAGAGGAGAGTATCTTTTAAGTGTTCTATATTTTCTAAAGATTTCCGTTGCCTATCATGAGGAGAAAAACTTGCAATTTAGTTTAGTGCTTGCTAAGTAACGAAAATTCCGTTTTACACTTCATATGGAACACCTTCTTGTATATATAACAGGCGAGGGGGGGGGGGGTTGCAAAATATCAGATAGTCTGATGAGAAAATTTGCATATGGATTGTCTTTACCAGAATTTTCTGAGCTTTCAGGTAGCCTGCGAACTCTTTCCCAAAATTTGCCTTTACCGTCTTGCGCACCGAAAATCAGCTATACTACCTGGCAGCAAAATTGTTATTTCAAGAAAAAAAATGAAAAATAGCGATAGCCGTTTTTGATTTGTGATGCAATTTTGTGGGGCTAGCTCATGAGTTTAAAAAACCTTTGTTCTGAACCACGATCAACAAGAAAAAATTGTCACCAATGTGCAATGTTGCGCTCGATTGCAGGTTCTTGACCGATTGCTATTCTGGATATTTCTGAGTCTCACCGTGACAATTACGACCGTTCTCCTACTAATTATTCCTGCGATACACCGATCACTCGAGGAAGAGTAACCATGTCGGATTCTTCGCATCCTTCAACTTGCCTTCCTTTTGTGCCAGTCTACGTTGATCTCCCAAACAAATCTGATATTACTGCATGTACAGTTGCTTCATCGCCATTTTCGCTAGTGCCTTATCTATGGGTGAGAACTTCTAAAGATCTCCGATTTTACCGATTGCAAAGTTATAAGCTAAGTATTGCATTCTCAAATTCATCAAATGACATAAAAAGCGTAACAATAATAAACTCGTATTGTGGCAATTTGAGCTGATAACAACATATAAAAGCAAGACGATTTGAATAACAAAGCCGAAAGCGCCGTAAGTAAACGAGCGAATCATGCGGCAGCAAGATATCACCTAAAAGCTTAGACAAAACAAATCTACAGACATGCGACAAATATACATCTATCAGTATCAGTATAAACAAATGAGATTGAAAATACAACCTAAGTTAAAAACGTTCGATTAGAGTTAGACTGGGTCTAGAGCACAAACATTCTAATAGGACACAAACTAATGGTAATATATCGTTTCTCATCAGACAGTAGTAACCAACATTTGGCCTGTATTACTTGTATTAGCTGATTGTTTCTCTAGCTCCGGCTTTTCCATAGCCGTGGAACTTGGCTAAAATTATAAGCTTGTTCACAAGACTCTTAAACTGTCCTTCGTAAAGTTGTGTACTTACTTCCGGCTTTTTATAATTATATGGAGGTACAACAGCAGACTTTGCTTCCTTTTTAGGGGTTATGGTTGCGCTGACGCGAATTGTTCTCTGAAGAGTAATCACGAGAATATACTGCAAGAATGGAAAGAGATCTAAGGAAAAACCTGGAGGGAAGATGTGCGGCTGTTAGTTGGTTTCGGCAGCCTGGTTTTGTGGGTAGATGTGGTCTTCGAACTTCTTTGATTAGACTTCAAAGGTGTTGTTTGTGTTGAGCTTGAACAACCTGTCATTGTTGATGAGGAGTGAGCTCCAACGCGCAATGGAGAGCTAAAGAGGCTTGAAAATAACCAAAAAACAAACATATGCACAAAAAAAACAACCTTGATGATCTGATCATCGAGCAATCAATGGTGATATCGTCGTCAACAAAACAATCAACTGGTAATGTTGTGTCAAGAAACTGCCCTTCGTCTTCATCAGACCAACTGAAGAGATACGTACTGCACATATTCAATGAACTTCTAAACCTTGCAGACCTTTCTGAAGATTCCCTTGAAGAAGAACACTCCAGAGCTTGCTCCAACAAACATCTAAAATAATCACTTCAGAAAGAGACTCCATGTAAGACGCTATTAGTTTCAATTTCGCAATTCGTAAGTATAAAACAATAAGGGATTGTTGATTTTGGTAAAATAGCGAGAGAGACCTACCTTTCTGCATATCCCTCAAAGTCCTCCACACTGACGGGGTGACCTGCGACTTGCGGAGATGGGCGGACGCGGTGGGTCACCGGAAAACAACCGTGTCCGCCCTTCTCGTTTTTTGAACTGCTTTTGAATGATGGAGATGGTTGTGGCATGGCAGCATCGATGCAAGCGCTGAGTAAACGATCTGCATCCACTAAAAGGAAATAAGTATTCGACATAGGAGTGCACAGATAGATAACGGACTTACCATTCGGAGAATGATGCGCATCCGAGTAACCATGCCGCGCTCTCCGAGGAGATGGCTGAGCTGCTTCGATCATATCGGCAAGCAGGCGATCATCAGCTAGTCTCCTGTGATAACAAACAATCAGATTTACAAAGATTTGAGATAATTAAACCCACCTTTGTTGCTTAGGAGTGACAGCCCTCGGAGAAGGCTGTGGTAATTCTGCTTCAATGGATCTAGCCAACAAGTCAGCTCCATCAACACAATTAGCACTGACAGCTGCGTACAGATCATCAGCGAGATCTTGACATGCAATTTCTGAACAAAAAGTGACCAGAGCTATAATATAAAGTAACAAGTACTTATATTTCAAGTGTCAAGAATAATGCTAAAATGAAAGAAGAATAAAAATGAAGGTCTGACCAGCGTCTGTCTTCTCTATCGATGGAAAGCTCGCTGGCGGTAAAGGTGCAGGAAGGACGAATGCAGGAAATGTGGGAGTTGGCTGGTCATCAACAATCGCAGTAGCTGTGTCACTCGCTGTCAAGCCTGATTTTGGTTCGCTAGACGTAACTCCTGAGCCGCCACGGACCTTCACGCTCAGTGGAGTCGAAGTGTCGCCTAAATTATCGTATGTGATCATTATCACGCTTTTCCTAAGCAAACGTCTCATACCTTTCGTTTCCATCATCTTTGCACATTGCGTTGGAGAATCGGGAAGATCCGAAGGTGAAACCGGTGACATTCGGTTGCTATTTGCAGCAGTGTCTAAGTTGCTTTGCCATCCCATTGAAGTGTTCTGTGAAGATTTTCTACGATACACGAGGATTAAACGAAAATAGAACAACAAAATTACCGGCAATTCGCTGCCAAGCGAAGCGGCGCTAACACTTCGAGTACATCGAACGCTGTCCTCCAAATTTGGATCACCGGTGATTTCATCTGGTACAATGGATGGCTGAAAATTTTCAGTGAATGGATTATTTGTGGAACATGCAATCAAGTAAAAATCATTTCAAGATATTACTGATAAACCATTTAGAATGTAAAGTTAAGGCTCTTACCTGGATTGGAGTGTCCTCATCAGGGATGTACTGCGTGGGTGGTGGAGCAAACCCCAACGCCGGTCCGCTAGAAATCGGCCCTCGAGCGGGAAAACCGTGGTGTGGAGATCTACAAAAAGAACTTTCGGCCGTAGTAGTTGAATATGAAATTGTAAAGCTCACGCATGGCTAGAGACAAATCCTCCTCGATTGAAATGTCGAGGAAGACTGCTAGAGCGGTGGTCGAAGGAAGGTGTTGGACCTATTCCCGTTACAGCACCAGGAGACATCCGAACGCCACGAAGAGCAAGCAAGCGCGTATCACGGGGAGAACAAATGGGATCACATCCAAGTGACGAAGACATATCTGAAGGCAAATCAACTTGAAAAAATTGAAATATAGAAAATAAGAAATTTAAAATGTAGGTAAAAGGACAAGATCCTTCGACTTTATACCAACTGACCAGCGTATCGCGTATACCCTACGGGCTGATTCAGATGGTTAAGTACAGCTTTGACAGCAGCTCGTATATCTTCTCTAGCTGAATTTCGCAGGACATTCAATTGGTTCATTGCCATAACATCATGACGGACTAAGGACTGAAAGGAGATATCAAAAACAAAATGCATTTTGATGCAAAATAAAAAGAAGATGAAATGGAAACCTGCAGATGTGGGTCCTTCGCGATGAGATTGGCCAATGCACCCAGTGTATTAGCTACAATTGTGAATGAGGCACTGCTGAGCAGTTGCACAAGGTGAGCAGCTATTTCGGGCCTGGCACTCAGATGACTAGAATTCGTTGACAGGTACTGCGAAACGTATTTCAGAATGCCTGAGGCACTTTCCACAACGGCCTGGGATAACAAGATTAGCAAACCTTCGATAAAAGACTCTCTTACGATGCCTACCGTCATTCTCGCATCGTTGGAAAGCAAACTCGTCAGCAGCGGTAAGAACCCGTGTTCATCACAGATAGCTTTCTTATTTCGTTCTGAGTGGGAGGCTAAATTCCACAACGCACTAAGAATGGCACGAACGCAACCTAAACTGAACCGTAGAGCAAGGAAGGGAGAAATTGTTCAAAAAACACACTCTCATCACGCTCATTGTGAGCAATGACGGCAGCTCGTGATAAGGCTTTTGCGGTTGGAGAAAGAATGTCGCTCATCTTCCCATCAGCCATCCAGCTCAAGTTCCGAATCAAACCAGCATAAACCTGGAAGACATTTTACGTCTGTGCTTCCTTCAAAGTTGGTGACTGCATTTTCATATAATCAGACATGCTTGATAAAGTGATCGTTACCTTGCGAATCTTATTCTCCGACCCCCCCCCCTCCAACACCAAAGTTCGCCCACGGTTCCACATATGGCGTTTGCGTCGTTTGGGAAGAGAAGTCTAGTCTTGTAGACACAAACGCTAACTTGCGCTCATTTCAATATTTTCGGGTAAACAATCTCAGTGGGCGCTCTTTGGCGGTTTTTTGAACGCAATTTGACAGCGAGTTAACAGCATGTGTTTGCTTCGAGTTCTTCGAATGCTTCGAGTTCGATGGAAGTCATCACTTGGCAGTAATTCGCTTGACCAGATTTATAAGAACCTCCTTATGAGCTCCGAAGCGTCAATTTGGAGAATGTTATTAACCTGCCATTGCGTGACGACATACTACAGCATATGGTACGACAGCTGTGTGAGAGGTGGGGTCTTTCCGTTCTTTGAGAAGATTCGTAGAGAAAAGGTTGATATCAGGGCTTTTCTACATTAAAACGGTCATACATTTCTCTGGTGAACTAGTAGTATGTATGAATGGTCTGTTGACCAATATTTTTTATACCAGCACTGTCTTTTGAAAGTTATAGCTAGTGATTAGAATTTCTAGGGATCCGTAATCGGACCCAGCTTATGATTCGTGACACTTGCGCTTTCGTTAAAAATGCAGTAAGCTCGCTTCATATTAATGAAATATTTGCTCTCAAGCATCTGATGCTTACGAACCAGTAAAAAGTCCCTATTACTGAACAGCCGATGCATGTACTCGCAGGTATCATGCTTCAAAAAAAACATGTCAGAGGAATTTTTTTCAGATATCTCAAAATTTGCACGGTTGCGCAAAAGTTTCATGACCTGAGCAAAGCCTGATGTTACCTTAGGAAGAAAAAAGTAGCAAGTGATGCAAAAAGGTTACTCTCTTCTCATTCTCATTTCCCTGATTCAATGCTCAAATGCAGAGAAATTATCGGACGTATATACATACTTTCACTGGCACGCGCCATTCGATCCCCTCCTATGCGGGTCGAGGGTGAGCGCAGATAATTTGCTTACATAGTGTAAGAGCGCAGTTAACGTTCGCTCTCATCGCCCGCATAACAACTAGGGAACCCGCCCGCCCTGCCATCTGCGAATAACAACAACATGGCAGTGCCAGTTGTCACTTGCAGCAGCGGATCCCCATAGCATCTTGAATTTCCTCGGGACTACATTTATGCGAGGGCATTCGCGAGGTCCTTGAACCACTCATAACTGCGAGTTTCAGTCCGAAATTCGGTTTTTGCACGGGAATCAAGCGTAAACAAAGCCGCTACCATTCTTTTGCGACGACATCGAAACGAACACCTTTCCCGCAATAACCTTGAATAGCATACGATAGCTAAATTATAGAATAGGAAATACGAAGGGTTGTCGATGGCCGACCATGACCTATTTTTCCCACTGACGCAAACAACGCAAAGAAAGGTTCAAACCGAAAGATCTCGAACGGCGTTCGAGATGAAAAGAGGAAGCAAAAGACGCAAAATTTTAAATCAACAAACCTGTGCCAAATTTCGTGCCTCATTGATAATTCTAACCACGGTTGGAATAAAACCGGAGTAAAAGCAAAGACGTCGTTTGCTGGCAGCGTGGCCATACGTGAGATTAGTCAAAGCGTTCGCAATAAGCTTGCGTAAGGACCTATGCTCATTCCTAGAAGGGATTTCAAACACTGCCAACTCCAAAACCAGTAGCTCAGCCAAGGATTCAACAAGACCTGTAAATGTGAACTACCATACATACTCTCTATTCACTTCAAATGGTGATTTACCTAAAATGATGGCGACTTTTCGATACTCTTCATCAAATGACTCTTTGACAATACAGTCGAGAGCACCAAAAAGACGTGGGTAGTACGAAGGAGCGGGCACTGAGCCATGAGGAAGTCTTCGTAAGTAGAAAATCTAAACTACTACCGTATAAAATCCAATTGAAGAAATCAAATAAATGGAAATCCATTTCATATCAAATGCCTTAAATGTTACATACATCAAAGAATGATAAGGAATCCAAAAAAAGCATCATACTCTTGCTACTGAACACCTGATTCATACTTACCTGTTCTCTTACACAATTTGATGGCGGTAGAGCCCTTCGCAGACGACGCCTCCTGAAGAAGCAATATCAACAACAAGTTACACATGTACACCTACACCTCTTGTCTACAAGTATCCCATCTTAGCAAAAGTGATATGAGCGAACAAAAAAGGCGACCAATAGGTCTTTATCGTTTTTGCACCCTACAAAGTGACCTCCAAACAGATCATTTCAGCCCATTCACCATCAACGTCGAAGGACGCTCGTAATTAGAGATTGGACTTGTCCACTCAACACTATTGGAGAAAGAACATAAGAAATTAGAAGAACGGTGAAACCCCGGTATCTACCACCGTTGAAAAAGGGAGATAAATCATGAGTAGAACCGAATGCGTATGATAACAACGATGGTATGGATAAAAAATTACCTTGCGAAGTCCTGCTCTCTTGCAATCACAGCATGTATCCTTTGATGGGTTACCCGTAGAAGCTCGTCATCTTCATCAGTTGTGCGCCGATGGCGAACTTGCTCCAAATTTAAGGATGCCAGGAGTCCAGTAATGGTTTGGTCAACATCGATAAACTATGAACAGGAAAATAAGTTGTTCGCGGAAAAAATTCTTCAGGTATCAAGAAAACTACCTCCTCTTCGTAGTAGGCCAATCCTCCAGAAGAGGATGGAAGTGGTCCCGCACTGCTTTCATCCAGATCGTCGTCACTCATTGTGACGACCTACAGTGCGGCCCTTCTGCAAAAGAATGAATATAGGTAAATTCGTTTTGCATCGTAGTGGACCGTCACGCTTTATTGTAGTGTGAAGATAGGAAAAAATAGTCGAATTTTCCTCAAGGCTAGTGATTTCTTGCTAACCACCGAAAGAAGAACGCATCTAAACCAAAATACATTCCTCAGATCCATAAAAATTACCGCAAGGTCATCTGCGTGTAAAGATCGGGCCTTAGATTGATATTAGTGCTGCCACTTGACAGATAGAATTTGTTGTCTAGATTTCAAAAAACAGTACAGTTAACGCTATTGGTTGCATCGAAATGCGCAAAAACTGGGGCGAGCTAATGGTACCAACAAACTTTGGTAAGTTGTTCCAAGCCCACATGAGAGGTGACAGCTTTCTTTCTGACTGAATTTATTCGCAAACATCTGAGGTGACATATGATCGATTCAGTTAGAATCACAAACCGATCTCGATGGCAAGCTTTGTTGACGCTGATATTGAAGTGGTCTGAACTGATTCCTGCGTAATTGGTAAACAACCGCACCCTTCCAAACCACCCAACTCCCAAACTGATCTGTAGATCTAGGTAAAAGCTGCATGAGATTGAAGAAGATGACCTTGACGGGGTGAAATCGCGAAACGCGCGACCTTTCGCTGCGGTTGTGGGCTCGCGAAAGAGCGAGAGCCGCCTGCATTCTCACTTTCCCCGCGCCACCGACGCGCATGTACCCCCTCGACTTTCGCTCCTTGGACCGGGCTACGGCACAGCTCATCACAGTCTGTGAAGCTCTGTATAATGCAGGCAACGAGCAGGCCGAGGAGCAACCCGTCTTGCCAACCACCAGTCAACAAGAGCAGCTCAACAGCTCAGTGCATGTCATTCGACCGACTCCACTTCGACCTGCACTTGGCACAGCGAGCGAAGACCCTCTGGATCTGTCGGCTCAGGGTCGCCAGACGGTCATCCACAATGGCAGCCAGTCTCTCAACGCAGCTAATCCCACAGAGACTGTTCTGCCACTTTGCACAGAGGGAAACTTAAAGGCGGAGTGGATAGCGCTGAAGCTTGCGGCGACGGCAGGCAGCAACAGAATGTCTTATCCGAGAGAATTCAAGCTCATGGTCATCGAATACTATCACAACAATGGCCAGAATAAGTACCGCACATGCAAAGAGTTCCAAATCACAAAATCTATGCTGAATGGATGGCTGTCAAAGGTAGAGTAACATCCTTTTTCTTTATGATTGCACGATGTTAAATGTTAAGAGGCACACCACACCATGAGCCACTGCCTTCTCAAGCATTATGCACAGCACCTCATTTTTATGGGTTCTCTCTTGAAGTCAATATACAGGGTGTCCCAGAAAATGTGTCTGATGTTTGATTTTTAACTCTCGTGTCATGAAGTCTTTCGAGAAGCTTTAGGTACCATTTTGTAGAGCTGGCATCAACTTAGTTTTAGTAAAGAGCGATTCATCGATCGCTCTTCATTACTGTGGGATTACGGTAGGAACTCTGACGAGGGTTTTGAGCCATGTACAACCATACATACGGTCTTAAAAGAGGAACAATGCAACCAAAAACTTTCACACTGGGCTAATTAAAGTTGCTGATTCTTAGTATGAAATTCTCATCTCATTATAATGCTTAAAATTGTGTCAGGTAAGCCACGGCAGCCTATTCTGTTGCCTCTAAAAAATGTAGTTGCACCGCTAAAAAGCTTCAAAATCTTGTACAATTGAGTATTTCTCAGCGTCCATGAGAACCCTATCACACTAGCTTCAAAATCTTTTTCAAAACATTCATTCGAGACGGTTGGTTTTTCACATCGACTCCATACGCCGGAACTTCATACCGTAATCCTTAATGAAAAGTGATAGTTGATTCGCCTTAAACTGTGGATCTATGTTGAAGCCACTCTACAAAATGGTACCTAAAGCTTGTCGAAGGACTTCAAGACAAGGGAGTTATTAACAATCAAACAGTAGGCACATCTTTTTAGGACACATGTATAGGGACAGTGAGCGAACGTACGGCAAACGAAAATGCTCGCACCCCATCTTTTGTAACTAGTAAGATCCTGGAACCTGATCCTATAGCATCTACGTACACACGAATACTATTTTTTACCGCAAGCACCGCAAAGCTATCATTTTTGTCTATCTTCCGACTGTTTTTTGATTTATATAGTACATTTGATTACATCGCAAAGCAAACTTCTTCTGTGATGATCTTCCACTGTCCTCACACTTCCTTCCAATAACAGCAAGAAGTTGTAGAGCAATTCCAATAATATCATTTCATTCCCATTACTTGCGGAAAGCATTAATTCTACAAAATGTTTGAAATGTGCATCAATTTTGAGATATGCACATGATAGTCATTTGCTCTTGCTATAAAAAAAATCAGATGACAAATATAGAACTACAGTACGTGCGCGACCACTAACGAAAGTCTGTGTACTGCACCTTCACAGAAATTTTACCACATAGTCACTAAAAACGATGAGATATAGCGTTTTCAATAACTCATAATAGTGCTTCAAAGATTTTAAAGAAACCGCATACTCCGAAGTACGCTACTCGGTATTACCCATCCACCACGTGTTGAAAAAAAAACTGAAACTCGATTTACAAACCGATTGAAAATTATAGTGATTGGAACTCCGAAATCGCCTGTAGATAAATTGAGCAAAAAGATCTTTCTCAAAGATGTTTGGTGTACCACCTTTTTCAACGTTTTTGGCATACATTTGAGAATGGATAAGTAACAACTGTTTTACAGATAGAGAAGATCCGTGAGTCAAGACCCGGTTCACTGAAGTCCGGCCGAAGCGGACGACGCCCACAGTTTCCTGACATTGAGAAGCAGCTATTCTCATTGTACTGCCAGCGACTCGAAACTGGTAGTAAAGTTGGGAATCGATGGTTGCGTGAGCGAGCTCGGGAACTTGCGGGAGATGCCAACACAGCGTGCCAATTTTCGGAACGTTGGCTGAGTAATTTCAAGAAGCGCTTCCACATCAACGTTCAACGGGAAAGCGACTCCATAGTCGACTCTCAGTCAACCAATTCGACATCCAGCGACAGGCAAACATTATCGGATACCGAGACTGAGGGATTCGTTGAGCATATTGAAACTGACAACGGGATTCATCAAGACGTTGTAGCTGAGATTGTCAACCAGCCAGGACAGCTACCTATTCAGGCGTTCTACGAGAAGTTTCCTTGGCTCTGCAAGAAAGGAGCGCAGGTCGAACCGGGCAGGAGAGGCCGTAAAGTACAGTTTCCAGATGTGGAACGAGTGCTTTATGAACGCCTTGTAGAGAGGCAAAAAAGTGGCGAACGCGTCTCAAATCGTTGGCTGCAAGATCAGGCTCGCGATCTAGCCACGGAGCTGTGCCCAGGAATTCTCGAAGAAGCAGTGAAATCATCGCGGTGTCTGTTTTCGGAGCACTGGCTCCACAACTTCAAGAAACGCTACGGGATTAGTCTCAAATACAAAAGTGCCACAGTCGAGCCAGATCCGGAAAGTGCGAGCACATCGGCGCAGGTTTCGCCAATTCCTTCAGCCGACACCATGGACGCTAACCTGACCGTTCTTCATCTACACAACTGGTTTATGAACCAATGCTATGCACCCCTTTGGTCGTCGGCTAACTCACGACCCTACACATTTTCATGATACTCACGTTGACAACATAGTTCGGGTTATACATAAGTGACAATAACTAGCTGCAAAAGCAATAATACTGGTGCATTTCATCCTGTGATTTGTGCAAATAGTCTGTGATACGTTGCAATACATATGTAAAATGGATGAATAAATTCTGCGGGTTTCTCATATACCACGAAAATGCGCAGTTGAGTATGAGATGTTATAGAGCATTGTGTAAAATAGAAAAATCTGATGATATTGCCAAGAACGTTAAGCTATGAGAGGATAAATAGCAGATAAATATGAGTAAAAGGAGTCCTATGGTTCGGAGAAGACATCCAAAAGCCTCTTCTATTATATATTTGAACAAGCCTTAGTTTCAAAATGCAACAGATCCCCTTTCTCCAATTAGTTCTTCCATAAAATGTCAGTAATATCGCTAAGATGATGAAATGAATGATATTAGTGAAAAAGATAGACGCTTGATTTAAGGATCAAGTAGGATATATCCAGTTTAGGTTGATCAAAAAATCTGGAAAAACCACAAAAAATGATGTTACCTACAAGGGATGGACATTCAACTAGTTGATGTAAGACGAAATGTATATATCATTTGACAGGTGTTCAAACGCTTACTCCAAATCTGCTTTTCTTTTTTGTGGAGCAACTTTTGAAAGACATGGGCGTATGGATGTCCAAATTTGTCAAGCTTTGAATGGCATGAAACTAGCAAAAAGCTCTACAAAACCACCTATGCGAATTTTGACTGAGCGTTCCCTACTTGTAGTCAGTATACTTCAATCTTGTAGCAAGCTGATTACCATTTTCAGGTGTTTTGTGGGGCTTTCTTTAGTTCTCATGCCACTTAACTTGGCAAATTTGGGAGACTTTCAAACGCTCACAACTTTTGTCGGACAGTTGTTTGCAAAAAACGAAAGCAGATTTGAAATTGGTGTTTGAAGACTCGCCTAATAATATAGTTACACCTCATCTTCATCAGACAAAAGTATGGAAGTGGACTGGCCTAGCCAAAGGTTCCTTGAATTTTTACAATACCGAGTTGCTAAATGAGAAATCAGTATTGCTCATCGAAAGAAATTCTTCAGAAAAGGTCAAGAACTGATGCGACAGAAAGGATGGCATAGAAGCAACAGTAGTATGAATTGGAAGACGTAACATTAATGGGCTTGAAAGAGAGCGTAAGCTGGTGTAGGCGAGGGTCAGCGGTCGGCGTCGGTTGACGTCGTTCTTTCATCTCACCGCTAAATGCGCACCGACGCACTCGACAAATTCAAATTCGGACGCTTCAAAGCGGCTAAAAATCGCCGCTACACATATTAGCTTTGCGTCGAACAAAGAGTCAAAGCAATCAGAAAAAGAATCCAAGAGGTTGATGTTGCATGAATGTTTGATTCAAATTTGCACGATTTCAGTTCGAACTTGCGCAAGTACAATAGTGAGAGGACGCAGAACTGAGAGAAGAGTGAGAGAGCAGTACTTGGAACATTCGAGGAAAAACAGAAGCAGAAGCTGTTGAAATTAGCATCGCTCAATGTTTCAGGATGTTAATGTCACAAGCAAATTTCCTGCGTGCGCGAGCGTCCATTCCCATTAGAGCATCAAAATGTCTCCATGTTTCACATCTTGTCTCATTCGCCCTCCACCTACTCATCTACTTTTCTTTGTGGTTGTTGAGCGAAAGCGGAGAAACTGTCGATATGCTACTAGTTCTTATGATCCTGTCATTTCGTTTTCATCATCGAGTTTCAGTTGAGTGGCCACTACCTGACCACTTTTGATGCGCTTTGCTTAGGGATGGCCTGTGGCTAATTTTATATATTCCTTTGGAAGGAAAACCTTGTTGTTGCACATTAACTTGAGTCCCATAATACTGCAGCAAAGAAGCTCATCAGAATCTTCATTTCTTTCCATTGCCATCGACCCTTTTTTTCTCCATAAAAAGCAGCTACTAGTCGTTCTCTCTCGTTTTACTTCAACCTATCTATCTACCTACGTATCTCTGTCTTCTTCAACCTAGGCTACTTATATGCGTAAACACTAATTTAATCACTTCTGTATTTTTCTTGCTCAAAATCCTTCTTCCAGAAAATGCAGGCGATACGCATAGCATTTCGGCGGACAAGAGCCTGCCGAAGACTGTTTTCGATACAGTCGGCCACTTCCTCATCAGATGAACCAACAGTCGTTCACAAGATGATGCCATCGGAAAATTTTATGAAAAAGTTCATCAAACGGCCATCCCATCGAGACAGACTTGCCTCACTGATCTCGGAAGTAGATGTAAGATTTCATTTCAAAACTAAAAGGAAAAAGAAAACGCTGGAGAATCGGTTCTCTTGCTTATCTATGTAGATAGAATAGTAGATCCGTTTTTTGATATAGTGTGATTGAGTACAATATGCGCGCGTAAACTCGCAAGCAAGTTCTCGGCATTGTGTGGGTTTCCGCGCAAGTGTTGTCCACACTGCAGGGACACTATAATGATTGTCAAAATTACCCAAGTGCAAGATTGTAAAATTTCCAACAAATTTCAGATGTTTATGGATATCTTCGGAAAGGATTCTCTGCCCGACTTTGATGACTCTACGTGGACCACGTTCTTTGGAACCTGGTCAGTTGAAGAACGTTGTAACTTCCTGGATTATCTGCGTCGCAGTCGAACTTCAGCGAGTCCCTCTTCCACTCCAGAAAGGGAGAAGGCAAGTAATTGTGAGTGCACTCATAGTGCTCTTTTTGCCATGAGTTGTCCCTGTTTGATTGGAAACTTCTAGATATCAGTCTTAAACAAGCAGAAAGAGGAACGTGGTGAAATGGTTTATGCTCCCGATTTCGTTAGTCTCTTAGAATTACGTGGACAGGATTTTCGTAGTGAGTAAGCCCTCTCTATGCAAACTCATATCCGAATTTTTTTTCTGAAGGAACAATCGACCGCATGTATGGCAGCCGGTTACTCGCAATGAAGAGGAACGACGAAAGTTTACCAAAACTTGTGGTTGACTGCCGCTTTCTGGCAGAGTATAGCGTTGTTATCCAGAGCTCTTTTGCTAGGTACGCTGGGAAGTCTATATTTCCATACGTAGATTATCTCCAGGCAGATTCAAACGTTACACGATAATAACTGGACTTCGCGACTTCCATTTGATATCACTCTAGCAAACTTTCGTCCAGATAGTCGCCTCGCAGAAATTGTGAAAAGGTACCTGTTGTATAGTTTAATCAAATTGTTATCGTTTTCTAAATTTACGAATTGATCACACCAACCTGAAAAAGATCTCGGACACAAGCTCTGAAAATGAACCTGTTTTAGTCATTGTCGCACCCTATGCTTTCTTTCTTCCATTCCAAACTAGATTTGGCCATACTTTACTAATGCAGTGTTATAAGTGTTACTCTATTACCATTGGTACCAGTGGTACCAGTCTTATGTTACCAGTATTACTGTTGTTACCAGTGTTACCGGTATCAGGTAACCTGGTAACAGTTCTACAACATCAGTAACTCTAGTAACACTGCTATAAGCTCCTGCGAGACGAAGGCGGTTGGTTCGATGTGCAACGCGGTTGCGACATGGCTGCGTCACAGCAGCGTCACAGCCGCGTCACAGCCACGTCGCGCCTCGAACCAACCGCCTTCGTCTTGCAGGAGCTTATACACGGGTAAATTGGTAACACTGTAAAGTATGGCCGAAGCCTAAGGGTTCGGCTCATACATCATCGCTGCTACCTTTGTTACTGCTGTTCATGGGTAAAACGGGATAACCGAGTAATTTATGGCTTAACCCCAAAGAATTTCTCATTTTTTGACCCATGCCAATTTCAACCCGATCTCGGCATGATCATCCTTTCAATGAACATGTTTTTAGGCACTGGTTCTTCCACTATGGACCTCCTTCCGCGAAGGCTGAGTTCTCTCCGCACATTTTCGCTCCTAGCCTGACTACCAAATCAATTGCTGATGCCTGCAGTGTAGACCCTGCCGGTAAGTTGTAGCGTTCTCTGTATATGACTTTCATGACTTGATTTGATTATTTTCGCAGAGATCATGTACATATCATGGCGTGCAAAACAATTCTTGCCCGAGGTTCCTCCTTCAAACGTCAGAGCTGTAGTCCTGTGTGCGAGTAACGACTACCAACCATGGTCAAGCAGCGTTTCTGCGGCGCAAAAAGACAACATTACGGCGTACAGGATACCGTTGGAACGTTACGTCAGGTGGTTATTTGAATTCGTTCATCTTCTCGGATTTTGCTGTGGTATCATCTAACAGATTTTATCTCTTAGGTTCGAAAGAATGACTAAGGTGCTTTCTCTGAGCTCTTCTTCTTCTGTTCTGCGGTCCTATTTCCGAGGTGACGATCTTGGCCCCGCGATTCGCAAAGCATTTGTCAACCCAAAAAGAGAGAAGTCTGAGATTTTTGGTAGAAACGACAGAGAACTTTTTGAGGTGAGCCATAACTGCCAGGTTACTGTGCGAATAGCTGCTTTAATCGAAAGACGGCTTATTGACTAGGAAGCCTGTGTGACACTAATATTGAGAGGTCATATACTACGTTGCTGCATAAGTTCTGTCCGTTTTTTGTTGCTTTGTGTTCGAAGCAGCCCTTCTGAGGGATCTTCGCGTTTGATGCGTCGTTGGTACCATCAAGAAGTGTTCTTTTTCTGATAAATATCGAATAGTAGAATTTCCCTTTGGTAAGATGGCCATAATCTCACCTAGAAGATAAGTTCTTGGAAATTCTTCTTAACTTGCTAGTGAAGTCAGGCCAGTTGTGCCATCATCAAAAATAGGTAGATGGGCTAGCTTATGCACAAATTTAGTTTCATGTAACAGTCATAATGCATACAGAATTTTGATGCCAAAGACTATTGCTGTTAATGATTGTTCTATGAGGCACAACACTCTGTGAAGGAAAATTGATGAATTTTTAGAGGCTAGAGTAAGGCAGGGTTCATACTGAGCCGCACAAAGCGGCACAGCTCCAGCACAGCGCTCGAATTGTGCGCTGTGCTGGAACTGTGCCGCTTTGTGCGGCTCAGTATGAACCCTGCCTAAGGCAAGAGCAAGCGGGGCCCACCCACCAGTTGCTTCTTCACCGCCTCGACAATAAAAACAATCACTGATCAAAAGACGTTAATGAGTTGCTAGAGTGATCAAAAAGCTTGCTAGAGTGATCAAAAAGCACTCTTTTTTATGCTGTTCAAAAATTCTCTACTCATTGAAGACTCGATGGACTCCATTTGGACATGAATTACTTTTTGGGGTTTTCGCTATCTACTGATGGCTTCTAAATGTGCCCATCAATTTTTATGAAGCAAGCGCTATGTAAAAAACAAACAAGTTCAGATACTCTATGAAATCATTAGATTCTTTCATTTTCTCATTTGCGTTTTTATTAAGAGGTAGTATCTCTCTCATAGTCGAAAGCTTGCCTGACTAAAGGAAATCGAATCTATCGAAAACCTTAATTTTGAAAGAAATCATAATATTTTAAACTCAAGAATTACATAACGGCCAGAGATTATGCAGCAACGTAGATAGTAGTCTTGGGATGTTTTGTGAGCCGTAAATTCTGGCTATTTATCGCTTTTGCACATATATGGAGTTCTAGCGATTTAAAGCTGTTGTCCAAGAAGCAATAGCGAAAGCGGAAGCGGAAGCACTTCCTCTATCGTTCAAGAAGAAAAGTGCAGATTTGCCCAAGATGAAGAAGCCTAAGGTGCATCGGTACTCCAGAGAAGAACGAAGGAAAATGCGAGAAGGAGAGGCTGTTTAGTAAAGCGCATAGTTTTGTACAATATCGTTATTGTTGAGTTTGTTATTGAAGTGTAAATAAATTTATCAGTTTTTTTTTGCGTTTGGACATCTCAACAATTTCTATGAAACTTTTAGTGGGCATACCCCTCGCACGGAACATCATCATCTTTTCAAAATGTGAGGATGCAACTCTTCAACACTTCGGAAGATGATGTATTGACATGTTCAGTTCGTGCTTTTTTGGTGCTTTCAATCCCCAGCTGGCTATAACAAGCAACTTCATTTATGATCTATGTTGACGACCTATCTTCCATCATTCTCTGGATGTTCTTAGAAATTTCCGAAGAAATGTACGGTGAACAAGGAACTCTGCTCGAAAAGCTTGAAATTTTCTGCATTTTTACAACAAAGTAGTGTCCAACGCACGCAATCCATAGTTCATTCTTTGCTCACGACTCGGTTAGGGTTTGTTTCACTGCAAACTTGCAGGACCTTACGTCATACCACTGCACCCAGCATTTTGAGTTTTGTAACATTATTGGAAATCAGCTAGTTGTCTGGCCATTGGAGCCTTGACGAAGACCATTTCTTATATATGGGGTAAATCTAAACTTATTTTGCTTCTTACAAACAAGCCAATTAGGTTTGGCGTTTATTTTCATGGAAACGTTATTCCGAAACAAATACAATGTCACAATCGCCCCTCGGAATTATTCCGGCCCGGGCGTGGAAGGATTTGGAGAGAAAGTGTTTGCTTAGGTGAATAAATAATTTTTTCTTGAAATTGTTTTGAATTTTTATGAGTAGAATGTGCTGCATTCTCACACTTATAAGTTAGCCACGCTTTCTATAAAAATTCTGGGATGCTTCCCAAGTGTCCAGCGGATCCATGGGCCTCCAATTTTGACAAGGAATGATGGTTAGTCGAAGCCTTTTGCCATGACTTGTATACGAAGTTGGAGGGCGCAAAATGCTGATTCCAAAGCTGTTCTACTTATCTGCGCAGCATTCCTGGACGAGGAGTTATGAGCGTTTGAAGGAGCAAATAATGAATGTTTTTTTTTGGGATAAAAATAGTTGCTAAAATTTTCCCAGCGCTTGAATGAGACAGCCAGAGTGCGGATATATTTCACCTAAGAGTATTTATTTTATAGAGTGCTGGAAAAATACTGTTACTTGCACATTCGTTTTTTTTTTCTCCAGCAAACGCTCACAACTTCTCGTGCAGGATTGCGCCGCAGATAATGAAGTCAGCTTTGGAATCAGCGTTCTATGCCCTCCAACATGGTATATGGTATACAGCCCATCCAAAAGGCCAGTACGACCAACCATCCTTCTTTTGTGAGAGAAAAGGGCGTGGCGGCAGTCACCAGAGTTTGTCGGAAAATATGATTTTTTGGATTCATTTTGAATTTTTACAATAGAGCTAAGTTGCTTCCTCACTTTTAGATCTATAAACCACGTTAACTGCTCATTTCCAAATATTCGCTAGCTCCAAGAATGAAGCTGGAAATTTTTGGGTACTTGAATTGTGTGTCTACTAATATCACGGTAAACAACCTCTCAATCAATCCGCTTCACCCACTGCACTCCTGTATCTAGGAAATATCAGCCTGTTCAATCTGATAATTTTCCTCAACATCTCAGTAACCTGTAAGCCTTACAGCATCCGCAGAAGGACACCATTTTAGCATAGCGAGCTCTGCGTCTAGTTATACGCCATTTTATTGGAATAGCAACCGGAAATTGCGGTCTTGACATACGTCGGTCGTGAGCTCGGCCAAAGTAGTCTCTACATCATGGCTTGCGGTTCACTTAGAATTATCACGCTTCTGCTTTTCTTGCAATCTCACTCTAGGAACAGATTTCTGGTAATCTTCAGAATTTATGGCGACTGCTCTTGCATTTTATTAGACTTCATCAACAATTCGCTCGCATTTTCCGTACAATTTTTTATCAGTAAATTTTGCTTCAATTAGTATTATGAGTATGTGTCTCTGGGAGCTTCCTGCTTCATTTATCTATTTATATATTTATTTGATACGCACAAGGAGTGCCGCATCTAGAACAATCAGGAAGACCTAAATAAGACCTAAACAGCAATAAGTGAAAGATGACATCCGATAAATTAGCTCAAGTCTAGTCACCAAATATTTTGGTTAATAGTTTGGAAGAAGAGTAAGGGATTGAGCTTGTATAGAGTTCAATATGAGCGGAGGCTCAATGGAGTATTGCTCAACGCTCTAGCAACTTTCTTGTTCAATATATTAAATTCCTGAACTTGAAAAAATTTGAGACTTCCAACTCGTAAAAGCGGGCGGAGGAGGTCATTTCTTGAACATTTCAAAATTTCTAAAAAACCATGTTTTCTCACCCTTAATACTTCCTTTAGTTTATCCGTCAGCAATGCTGGGAAGGCAAATTTCGTCCACTCAAATTTTTATGGAAAAAAATGCGTTCAGCCCCAGAGATGCTTCTACCTCATTGTAAAATCGAAAAATGTCCGACCTATTTTGTGGGAATTATGTGCTGTTGATGATTTATTGACATAGTTCTGGGCATATATCTGCGATATTTACGACTTTCATGAACCAAGGAATAAGGCAAGGCTGCCTGCCTGACTGAAGAAGTAAAGCATGAATTTAATAGTTGGAAAGTACGCCTTGGTTTTTTAATCTCTCAACTCTCGAACTTGCTATTTGGAAAAAAGAACTTATTTTCAGGTCATCAGAGCTTTGTAATATACAACAATCATTTCAGATTCAACTGACAATAAAAAGGGTTTTGCATATTTTCAGGAAATGAGTTCAGGTAAAAAGAAAGCGCTGTTTTTTCGCATTAATTCAGTATCCTGTAAGTGAACGAAGAGACTTGAAGCGTTTGGAGATAGGTCATTTTACCAAACTTTATGCCCTTCATTTTTATCAATCCAATGATGCATGCTTATGATTTCTCTGGCAGTGAGCATTAAGTTGTTGATAAGAAAGCCAGTTTGAGGGAATTCATATGGCTTAGTCCACATTACGATCTGTGTCAGGCATTCTCTCTTTTATTTTGGAAGAAGAGGGCGAAGAGTGCATTTGGATACGCCCGCCTTCGGCTTGCTTCCGTCGCTGAATGGGCCTTGTTAAAAGCCAAGCTGACGATCTGTTTTTTGAGGTCTTTGCTTGCTGAGACGCATATGTGGTATCTAAATATTTCTAAAATGTTTATTTGAAGCTCTTACAACTTTTTCAAAAATTAGTATCCCATGACCGGGTTCATACACTCAGTCCTTATTCTATTGGCAAAAACTACTTTGAGTCTCGCTCTTTTTTTCGGAGGATTGCATACATATTGTAGACTCTGAAAGAAGAGAGCGAATTGTCATTTGTCGGTTTGTTCTGAGAGAATCATGTTGGATCTGCTTTTTTTGTGCTTTTTCCGCTCAGTCAAGATAATTCCGATTAGAATGAGAGTAATATAGACCAAAAAAGTTTAAGCTGTCAGAAAAAAAAGAGTGACAAAACCTTTGTTGTATACAGGCACTTGTGAGCAAAATTAACCAGTGCGTACCTCTAGCGCGAGCGTGCTATCTCCTACGTATATCTGAAGCAAGCAAAACACTATCATGTCGAGGACAGTCACTACATTTTCTGACAGACTTCAAATCAAGAGCAAGCAATGCCAGCAGAAAGCAAACTCAAAAATAGCTCAGGACACCTATTCACTACATTCGCTGTCGGGGAACGACGAGAGGACTCATAGAAAAAAAACGCTCTAAAACATCTCTTTTTTTAGTCAACCTGCTATTGCAGAGAAAGTCATCGTTTACTTGACTACAAAGGCATGCGCTTCTCTTCATTGCTAAAGTATTTTTACTGCTCGTGCAGTACTTGAGCCGTTCAATAGACTAAGCTCACTTCAAACTTCAAGTCTCCGACTCTGTTCTAAGCTGGTCGTCCTTTACCACCCAAACAAGAAATAGCTAAAATTTACCGCTGGAAACGTAAGGAATACTCATTCTGCAAAAATGCTCACCAAAATGTTTGCTAGCGCTAGGGACGAATAACAATACTTTTTCAAATCTTGCAAGGGAATTATAATTGGCCGAAGTGGCGTTTCCATCTGAATTGCATATGTCTTATGGAGCATGTACTCTGGTTTCAAATCTGCTTTATTAGCAAAGCTCTTCTGGAAGGGACGTTTTGGGAAATTTCTGGAGTAAAAATTTGAGGTACGAATTGGCTACGATGAAATTAGCTGTCGAGATCTTTCTGGCGCTTGAAAGGATTGATAATCGGCATGAGTTCATTAAACTGAAGGTATTGATTGCAGAAAGCGCCTCGGCAGTTACTGTGGCCCCATTTGAGATCACAGACGAATTCTGAATGATTTTATTGCAACCTAGTGTTCAAAATTTTGTCACAAAAAATCCCCAAGAATTCCATTCCAAGAGCGCTTTGCAAATATCGAAAGCATATCTGGGAATTAGCATTCCATGCTCTATTAGGTGGTGTGCATTTCATACGGAAACGCCACTTAGGCAAGTATTCTTTCCTTGTTGGTGCAAGAGTATCTGATGGTTCCACTCTGAACAGTCTTGCACCAAAATCTGAAAGAAGTGAGAGTCGGTAGCCGCGCAACCAATTTTTTTCTACAAAGCTCATTCAATTCCTATAAATCTCACAATCGATATTGTTCATTTGTGCAATTTCTTAATTCTCGCAGACCATTTGCAAATGTTTCGACACTCATTTCTGTATTGATTTTGATTACAAGTAACCATTTACTTTCTTAAATCAAACTCCGAAGACTCGGTATTTAAGAACCATTGCTTATTGCTTTACGAAAATATTAGGTTGGAAACTAAGTTTTGCAACTGGTCTCATAACTTCCCTCTCACTCAACATGGCGCACTCAAATTTTGCCACTGCGTTGGCTGTTACGTAAGCTACAAGTGCAGCTGCTGCCCTGCCAAATTCTGACGTCATAGTGAGGGTTACGATAGGTGTATGGTATGAAGGGGAAAAATTTAAAGGTTGACGGATTTGGCTGAAACTTGGCACAGGGGTGTTATTCGACATGCTGAT